ACTAAGGACAAGGCACAATTAAACTGAGCATATCTATGATCAAATATTCTGAAAGATGATATTATTTTAATAAGCTTGCAAATTTAATCAGTGTAAATATATTACAATAAAACACGTTCCTCAGAGACTAATGACTTATATTCACACTTTCAGAAGTCAGACTCCTCAAGCCAAAATCATAACTTTCTATAGACGGAGTCCCTCATATTAATTCAAACCACTTTTCATAGCTGTTCATAAGCACAGTTCTCACAGATGGAGATCAAGTTTACAGAATCTCAGTGATTTTCAGCCTTTTACTTAAAGATCGAATATTTAAATACAAGCAATATACCATCAGGGTCAAAATACTCCAATATCTGTTTTGTTATAGGGCAGGAGAAAAGAATCATAAGAGGCACAAACATTTCCACTGGAGTTACCTACTACCAGTCAACCATGAAACTTCTGTTGCTTTTGTAAAGTTTTCCACAGTAACTTAAAGCGCACTTACATTAAAAAGTTTGTTGACAGTTTTACTGGACAAACTCTTTTCTAGCTTAGTAGCTAGTAGATACTGCTCATATCAATCTATGCTGGTAAAGTTTTTACATTTTTTTTTAGCAAAAACCCCCACTTGAGACAAGCAGAACATCCATGATGAAACTGTTGCACCTCCTCCAAGAGTTTTTCTGGTATAGAAAGGTCATTTTAAAAAAAAAAAAAAAATCCCAATCTTAAATACTGTACCTGTAAAAAAACTCCACTTGACCACAATAAAACCTTTCCGAGGGAGAATTCAAAGCAAAAACATATAATAATCTTGAAAAATGCCATTTTATCTTTTAACATTTTACATTAGCTTTACAGCTGAACCACAGGTAGATAAATAATTCTGTGTTTTTTTCAGACTGAACACACACACTGCCCGTAGGTATGGAACTCTATCGTGGATAACTTGGTTATGCAATTGCTGCGCGCTAACTATTGCCACTGCTCCTGAAAACTCTGCTAGGGATGAAAGTCTAATTAAAAAGTCTCTTGCCTTTAGAGTAAGAGGGAAGGGATCCCCCACTTCTGATACGGCTTTACTGAAACTGCCCTGGGAGCATGGGGAAAGGGAAGGTAAAACAAAGGTTGTGCGAGTTCTCCTTGGAGACACAGTTTTGGAGAACTGCTTGAAGAGAAAGCACAAAGCCCTGTCACCCTTATCAAAGTGTCCACATACTTAAAGAGTGAAGAGAACTTGTATTTAAATGTCTTAGAAGAATATGATAACAAAAGTACTGCAAACGTCTTAAGGCATTTCCTGATGTCATGGTGTAACCTTTTCAGCTGATAATAATAACCCAGAAAAGAAGTACTAGTAAAAAGGTACATATAGTACCATATGTACTATAATACCTTTAGCATAATAGGCATCTGCTTGCTACAAGATATTAGCAACCTTAATTATATTTTCAGAAACAGCATGTTTTTGTACTCACCTGTGTAACAACAATGCTATTGAAAAGGGAAGTTTAAAGAAAAGAACATACAAACCCCATAACGAACAGAGTCTACTCATTTTATTTCATCTTGCATTTGTGTTATTAAAGCAAAGCATTCTATACATATTATTTAGCTATTTACTGCCATTCTACACCCATTATTGACCTAATTGCAGAAAGACAAATGCAGGAACAAACTTGTTAAAATAAGCATATTGATGATGCTTCTCTGACTTTGACAAATATTTATTTAAAAATAAGATACTGCTTATGGGTTTCTTTTATTAACAGTTAATGGCTCAATTCACAGAACTTTGAGACACCATGGAACATGTAGTAAAACGCAGTGCTGATAATACGCAATGTCTCTTCTCATCACTAAACATTCTGCACAGGCAGAATATTACAGTAACAGCTGAGCTACTGATTAATCAAACACCTAAATAGAAAGAATCTGGTGAGTGATGGACGGTAACTTTTAGATACCAGATGATCCCACATTTATGTAGGCAAAAAGACCTTCAGTGTCGCAGCCAGTAGGAATTATTATCTGAGAATACTTGTATATGTGTTCTAAAATAATGTGAGACAGCTTTATAGCAGGTGTCATAGTATGATTGCAAGTTAGGCATGGGAAAGATCTGAAGAAAAAAAAAAAAAATCCAAGTACTCTGACTTGTTTCAAAGCCAACTAACATTGCAGTGTCTTAAAGAAAAAAAAGTACAATGTATTTTTGTTTGTTTCTTAACACTAGTTTCAACTGCAAAATCACACTACTGGAATATCTTTAAAAACAGTCTTGTGAGTTTTGGAAAAACAAAAGTTAAATGATAGTGTAACTCAGAATGGGAATTTTACTGCAACATAAAAATATCTCAGAACAACGACAGTAAAGTATTTTAATAAATCACTTTGTTCTACATCTTCTAACAGATAAAGCTGTGGCGTCTATGAGAATACCTGCTGGAAAACAGACAAGGTGTATCCATCTCTATATCAAAATCAATTTGACTAGTCTTAGTGTCTAATAGTTTCTCACTAACAGACTGATTTAAACTAAGAAGTTGTAAGATTTACTATTAGACTAAATAGTTCTTCCATTATGGTTGTTTACTAGGTTGGCTGCTTCACTGTATCTGCATGAATGGATGAATCAAGAGTTGAATGGGCTACAGAGTTTTTTTTCTCAACATGTATCCATTACTTGACTCTTATCTTTTTAAAACGGGAAACATTTTCAAGCACTTTTGGAGCTTCAGACTGATTTCTTGAGGAACTACTGCTACGGCAAATTGCACAGAAATACTTCAAACAAGTGTTATATGTAGCATACTTAGAATTTCCAGCCCAAGACATGTAGGTGTTGTAACCAAAGCACAACAATGGAATTTTAACAGGGAATGAATATTCCTTTACAATTTTGCAAATAGAGCTAGAAGAGCCAGAACTTAAGTTCACATCTTGAAAATTATTTTAAGATATTTTTGATTGTGGTGTACAATACAAAGAGGTCTTTAGAATTCACTTGCTCTCAGTAGCACATTGCATTGGAAGAATGGGAGCATGCCACATAAATTCATTATTGTAAATAACACTTGTACAAGTGGGCACCTCTGCTAGCTGCAGAATTTCGGGCTCTCAGCCCTTTGCAATTATGCGGCCCTAAAACTGTCTGGATATGGAATGTATTTAATTCAGGATAGTTGTGCAAGGGAGAGTTGAAGTGGTGAACTCACATTATGCTATGCTCCAAAACCTTCCAATAAAAAAGTAGATGTGTTGAATATAAATCCCAAGTCTGTTTAAAATTTCTTATAATTTCAAAAAGCAAAACCACACAATCATATCAAGTAGTTAAACAGCAATAAATAGGTCTCCTGAAATTCAGAGAACGTGTGCATTCAGCTATCATTAAAAACAGTATCAGGTACTAACCTTTTTCCTCTACACTATGTGTACAGCGAAACAATGTTCCCAAACAGACAGTACTCACAGTGGAAAGCATGAACATTTCTTTTAAGCAAATTCAATGCTATAATGCTGCGGCTACTTCTTTTCCTAGTATTATTTTTCTGGAAAAATGGGTGAAGTTGACCAAAAAAGAAAAGTAGTAAAAACAGTTCTTAGAAATCATCACTCTCTTTCACAGTCACATGAAGGACGCTGTGCTCTTTTTACTCTAAGGAAATATCTTTGCAAGCATCTGGAAACAAGTATTTTTCTCTGCAGTCTGGATGCAGAGGGAGAGATCCTCCTGTTGAAGAAAAAAAGTCTGGAGAATCAAATCCTGTTCCCTCTGCAGTCAGGGTAAATATTGCCAGCTACTGCAGGGGTGGGGGGTGGGGGAGGATTTTCTCCTTAGTCCATCTGAACAACAGTTTCCTTCAGCCCTATCATTTAATATTAAAGTGGAATTTGTTTTATTCTGCAGACCAATAAGTACCCTAGGAGCTTGATTGGTTGGTGCTTAATGAAATTGCTTCTGCTGACATTAGATACATTAGGATACTGATTAAAACACTTAATGATCCCTCTTGATTTTAAATTGCTAGCTTAGATTTGCGAGATGCCATCAAAGTATCTTTTTCCTTCCTTTCCTCCATCCTAATCCTGCTTCTCCTTGCCCTTTTTCTGTTTATGATCCTTAAAGGTTGTGGGTCATTGGCACCAGCATGACCACAAACCAAGTGATAACACGATGCTAAACACTGCATTGTTTAAAATATGCCAAACCCCAGAATATAAACACTGAAAGACAGTCGTCTTTAAAATACAATTTCCTGGTTCAAAGCTCAAACTATTCTTAAATGTGGAAACACTGAGGATTATTAATATAAAGGGAAATCCAGAGTCAGAATAAACTTCAACTTTTTAAAATGTTTGCTGAAAAAAGATAATCCTGTAAATGTAAAAACAAGTATAAAAGCTTTACTTTTGAGCTTGAATGTGGAAGACAGTGATAATGGTGTTGGAATGGCATTCCTATGACAACAAAGCCATTTTTCATGCTCTTATACAAAATTGCATATCCTATCACATTCCAGTGGGAAATGTATATATGTTATAGGCAAAACGACAGCTTATCCTCAAATATTCTTAAACACTAGAAATACCAGGTTTGGAAACTTTGCCTGAAAAGAGGGAAAACACAAAAGTTGTAAAAAGTTCGATTTTCCTCGACAAATCTTATCAAGACTGTTGAGATGAAATTATACTTATGAAAAAAAAATTGCTTATATACTAAAACCTGCTGTGTCAGAAGCTTTTATGAAAAAAAGTAAATATACTGAATTTTATGCTTAATACAAACTTTAAGACCACAGAAAATAAAAAAGTAGAAGTTTTTGTACATTTTAGCACCATTATAAAGTTAGACTTGAATGCCGGTTCCGTCACTGTGGCTGTACCTTGCAGCTGGTGTAGCTAATGTGAAGCACATTGACTTCAGTGATCTTTGAGAGAAGAATAACTGGATTTGCTGATCACAACAAATTATACGTTTGCCTTTTTTTTTTTTCCTTTTTTTTTTTCTTTTAAAATTAATTTTGAACTTTATTTTTATGAGGCAACCAGAGTGCCTTTCTGTCAGCTAAATCCAAGTCCGAGTCCTTTTGGTCTCTGGATGGCTCGTATTGGCTCTGCTATCCCTTTGCCGTCCGGTCCAAGGCCCGTGCCAGGGGTCCAGCCCATACTCTGAAGCATTCTGTTTCCAATGTTGTTTTCTGGGATTGGTTGAGTGTTTTCACCTACAAACCCTGAGATTAAAGAAACACACAGCATTAATCAGCACTGCCTGCCATGTGGAGAAGGGCAGGATAATCTCCCTTAAAGCTTTAAACCTTCTTATTCTCCTAATTCATCTAATAGGTTGCTAGAACAGGCTGTCTTTGCACATGTTGACCTCCTGACTGCATATGATTCTACATAATACAGTCTTACGCTTTGCTTTATTTTTTTTAATGTTTTTAAACACTCACTCAGTTTTTAGGTATGACAAATATTCCAATACAGTGGATTTTACATCAGTCTTCAAGAACATGCATCACCTGCACAAGTCTACCAATGCGTCGGCACGATTACCTGAATTTCTTGTCCCATACAGTTACTAAGGCGAGGCATATCATCGTATCATGACCATCTTTCCATTCTTAGCAATATTTATCAATGCTCAAGATCTCTTCCAATAAAACACAGTAAATAATTTCTGATCAAACAATTACGGCTGCTAGAGAAACAGTACAGACAAGTGGTCTGCTATTCTGAAACTCAACTTTGTCTTTAATCAGTTTCTCTTTTACTGAATGTTGTAAGAGAAATTTGATACATCCAAGTTGACTTTTGGTACTTTCAATGCCATTAAGTGGTTTTTGCACTTTTCTCTCCATATCGTTGAGATCTCTGAGAAAAGCTGCACACATGCTGAAGAAAAGATCATCAGGATTGCAAGTGTTAACATAACAGATTCTTTTTTTCCATGAATGCATCATAAAAAAAAAAAAAAAAAAAAAAAAAAAAAAGAATGCCAAGTAACAAAGCTGGTTTTTTCCCTCATCAACCAAACTCCTCAAGCTAGAGTTTGGAGATGATGCATGGATAAGCCTTCCCATATATAACTGTCTCGCATGAGGGATAAAAATGGTATTTATTTCAAGAATCTGCAGAAAAACTTAGCAAGTTACACCATACAAACAATTTTAAAAAGGGCTGAAGTTTTTGAACTAACACAAGCCGTTGCATGTAGGCAGCTGGATTTTATTTTCAGCTTTGCTCAACATCTCCCTCACTCCTGACAACAGCACAAAAAAAGACACCACTGTGTGTGCCAGCTTAAAATATTATCGTTTAATTCTTAATTATTTATTCTGGCCTGCTACCTTTTGAAAAATACTGTGGAAGGAGCCTATGGTTTTGGAGACTATAATATCTTCAATCAAGAATTTACCATTGACAAGCAGCTGGCTCATCATTATATTAACTTACTAAAAAAGAACACAAGAAAAGTTGAATGTGCACTTCCAAAAAGCCTCATTTAACACACACACACAAAAGGCAAAGCCCCACAGCGGAAACCGCATACACAGACAGAAGTTCAAAGTGAGAATTGCACATTAAAAACCTCATGGTGATTGTGCCGATGAATTTACAGTACTCCAGCATTATCCGCTATAGACCTCTTCATATTCAGTAAGATGCTAGCTACATAAAAGGTAGATAACTTCCTAGTATCTCAGTTCCCGAGTCAAAGAAAAAGGGAAATGCATTGAGAGAAGGCATCCTTTAATACCGGTTTGAAGCTATGCTTAATGCTAGGCTTAAAATAAAGGCTTTTAAGTCGGCAGCCTCCAGTCCCCGAGAGGGTTCCTCTTGAACTGACCAGCACAAAATTCAATGTCCAAGACTTTCTTTCATTTCAGGCCCCCACAGGCAGAGGCAATTTTCATACAGACGAGTCCCTGACACTGCCTGGCATACACAACACAGGCTTTGCAACCTGAAAGTTATGCTTTCTAGCTCAAAAAAAAGGAAATGAAAAAAGGCCACTGATCAACAAAAGTGCCAGTAAACCTCTCAGGTAAAATCCTGGAAGTGTGTTTTGGTCCACTTTTCACAACAAGCGATGGTAAGAAATGGAGCATCGTTCCAATGAATGTCTGGTGGAACAATTAAAGGGGAAACTTAAAAGGCAAGAAAGATCCAACAGATCCGCCAAGCAGGAAAGAGCAAGGGTAAGAGTGTATTTCATGGCATCAAAGAATGGGAAATATTAAACCACTTGTAATGCTGCTTAGGCAAAGACAGCAACGCTGCTGGAATGGTATGCAAGGCATAGCCCGAGATAACATAAACAGCTTTTTTGTTAGTCTATTTGGGGGAAAAACCCACAGACCATTTCCTGTAACAGATGTACCTTTCTGTATGAATTTCAATTCTCAAGACAGCCACAGCAACCTCACAAAAAAGATAAATGAAAGAACAATCTGTACCCTGAAGTCTTATCCAATAAACTGATGTTTCTATTTTTGATATTTTTTGAAGTAGCTCAATTTTTTTTTCCTGTGACTGACAGGATAATTGGAATATTTTTGTTTTTAAAGACATGTAAGTACTTCTAGAATGTATACTATAACTATTTTCCCCTCCCTTGTACATACTTTATATCTCCTGTTAGAAGACTGAAGCATCCCCTGAAGATTTGTTTTATTCTTATACGTTACCAGATTAAAAAAAAAAAAAAAAAAAAAAAGAAAAAGAGCAGAAACCACCACGAACTTGGCTTCGCAACCCACTTTTGGGCAAACAATCACACAAATACGCTGCCCAACGGATGATGTATTTGGAGGCTTTGTACTGCAGCAAGAACAAGGCAAAACCAAAATCCCACCCAACTTGCCTATATTACAAAGTGACTAATTACTCCTTTTTGCAAATGAAGTGAATATGGATAACTTCTATTTTAATTGTGGAAAATATTCAATATATGCAGGCCATTCTTTTGCAGTATAGTCAGTGTTTATATAAATACTATGTATGTCTATATTCCTGCAATTTTCACCCATCATTTGAAAAATTTATCTGTAATGCAACATATTTTACTTGAATCAGAAGAATACGGATAGCGGTATTGCCCTCTTACTCCGTTCCACAACCCATCAGCAACTGGAAAAAAAAAATTGCATTGCTGATTGACTGGATGATGTGAGAGAGCTCTTAAAAATCATGCTACACTGTGTGCTATTCCCCTGACCCCCATTCCTGTGCTTTGGGCTTTTATTTTCTAATTAAAACCAGTAATTGTCCTTGCAATATTAATCTTCAAGTTCAGTTTTTAATTCATGCCTATGGCACTTCTTGGACTAGCCAGTAGGGCCTGTTAGAGAGAATGGTCCAAGCACATTGGCCTTGAAAATGGCTGTGTTACCTCTGGGACGTGTTCAGTCTCGACCCACCCAGGAGCAAGAGCAAAAGCAACCCATTGCACTGTCCCACAAAAAATAACTATGCAAAATCAGATTAAGAAAAAAAAGTGGGGATACATTTTTCTAAGTTTATTGCTGTATGAGGCTTTGTGGGGTTCCAGGAATTACGAGGAAGTCTTGGTACTAATAATTTCTAGGAATCTCCCTGTGCAGAGCCTTTTCTTTCTACAGACTGAAAATGTTTTTAGCAACCAAAACAACCAGGTTCCTGATCTACCAGATGAGTAGTCTGCATGTAGAAGTGGCTGCCATTACCCAGGTGAGGAGCAAACACTGAGGAACTTGCTTGAAAAGAAAGCACTGTAAAATACCCTCATTTTTGTTCCTTCTCTTTGCAATACTGCCACCTGAAATTAAAAAAAAAAAAAGGCCAAACTTCAAAGTTTTGTGTATATGAATAGATGCACTTCAAGGTCTATACACGTATTATGCACATGACCTTACATACACAGAATATGGAACCTATGAGTAGAAAGAGGCAAAACTGGGAAGGGGAAAACAAAAACCCATCACATTTGTTAAATTTTGGTATGATATTTATGATGGCATTAAAGGCAGGTTTTGATGAAAAATAAAGGTATGTAATTTTTTCTTAACAGCTGTTGAGACAGGTATGTCCTGGTTAAACAGTACACTAGCATTCAGTGCCATACCCTTGATTTTACAGTGACTGCCATGAATTAATTTAATTCCATCTGTAAGCTAAAATCAGATCAGAGGTCTAATGCTGCTGCAGGCTCCACATCTGCTTAATCATTTTTGGATACAACAGCTTGCAAAAGTTCAGGTTTTAAATTTGCTTCATATTTAAGAAACAACGTTACACCAATGTACATCATCTTCAGTACAAATAAGCCTATGCACATTTGATCTGACACATCCATTTTATTTGCAAAATGTTTCTGAAAAAAATTAAAAGCTCACCAATTAAGTTATTTATTATAGAATAATAAAGGAAGTGTGACCCCATAAACCACTACTGTGACAATATTTATTTGTATGGTCCAATTGCTGGATAAGACTAACATCAAGCATGTTTGGTTTATGCTGGGGTGAATAAAATCAGAATACAGCTAGGTTCAATCCCTTAAATAACCCTTATTTAAGAAAATGTTGGTGGGTCTAGTTTTTGGTGTTGTTGCCCCCCTCCCCCTCGTCACATCCTCCCCAGTTGTAAGAAACAAATGAAGGCATATTGAAGTAATTTCATCTCTGGCCACCAAACTATTTTTGATGTTAAGAAAATGGGTTTTTAAACAGTTCTGAGAAAATGACACTGTATATAAATATAGTCTTGGCCTTTCATCTTTCTTTTATATGATTAAGACTTGTGAGCAGAACAGCGATGCCTTTGCAGAGTGTACCACAACTATTATTTCCTCTTCTATCGCTCCCAGCAGCCTTAAATCCTTTAAATCCTTTCCTAGAAGGATCTCTCTTTGCTTGGGTAATTTTTGCAATACATGGCCTGCTAACCCTTACCCCCTACCCTGGATCTCACTTATGTCTATCACAGCAGAGTCAGTCTTTCTACCTCAAATCTTCCCAAGAAGCATTGTGGATGGTAATTCACTTGCGTAATTGGCTCAAGAGATGAAAATCTTGTATCTGCCTCTCTTAGCCACTAATCTATCCAGCTGACTGCAAGCCTAATTGGCAGCTTGTTTAGTAATTTGGCTCCTAAAGTGTTGTATTGATATTGGATAAACAGCCAATGGAAGGAGAAATGATACATGCTGCTTCACTTTAAAAGCTAGTGCACTTTCCCCCTCATTTTC